GGGGGGGGGGGGGGGAGGGGACCAGCTCTGGATTAGAGCATCAATGTCTTAACCCTGCGCCTCGGGTGACTCGTGGCAGGGCTCTGCCACCCCAAACGTGGGGCAGGACGCCGGCACATGCCGATCCCCCCCCCCTTCCCCTCCCTTACCCCCCTCCCGCCGCCGCTCGCGTGTCCATATGGGCTAACGGCCGCGGCAGCTCCTGGCCCTGCTCCCTCATTAACCTCTGCTCCGGGGGTGGACCCCCAGCCCAGCTGCCAGCGATGCTCCGAGCCCCCTCCCCGGCTGCTCGGGGGGCTCAGGGGGGAGGGGGGGTTTGTGCCTGCTCTCCCCCACCCCTTTCCTCCCCAGGATAAATCGCTGTAAAAGGAGAATTTACCGTACCTAAATCCCGGCTGGTCTCCTACCCCGACCGCCCCATCTCTGCTGCGTCCCCGGGTGGGCTGGGGGGGGGGAAAAGGGGGGGATGCTGCTCTGGGGGTCCCTTCCAGCCAGTTGCTTGCACGTGGTGGGGGCTGGGTTGTTTTGGGGTGTTTTCCCAGTTAACTTGTGCTCGGGGCTGGGACAGAGAGTTTCTGAGCCAAACTCAGGGCTTCCCCCACGCAGGACAGCATCTTCCCTCACCATAGAGCCATGCTGGGGATGGAGCAGAGCGTGGGGGGGTAGAAATGCCTCCCCCCCCCCCCCCCCCCCCCCCCCCCCTTAAAGTATTGAGCCTTGGAGAAGGGAGGTGGTGGCTGCGTCCACCCTGGGGTTTTCACAGGAGCACCCTGGAGATGTTTCTCAAGCTTCAGCGGTGAGGGGGGGCTGCGGGAGCAAGCCAGGGGCCGGGGCCGTACATCCAGCTGGAGATCCCGTCCCGCCAGCTCGGGAGGCTGATCTCGGCGGAGAAAAAAGTGCCCACGGCATAAATGGTTTAGCATATTCCCCTCTGCATCCTCATCCTCTTAGCGAAAGGTACAGGCGGGCACTCCCGGCAGGCTCTCCGACCAGATGTGGCCAGAGTCCCATCGGGGTAGTTAGTGCCGTATCGTTTACGGGAGGGGATTAGAGAGCCTCTACTTAGAGTCACGGTCCCCAAGGCCTCTCGGATTAGGATATAATGTGGCAGGCTTTGCCTTACAGGGGCTCAGATGGAGCTGTAACCCTCTTCATCCTCACTGTGCAAAACCTTTAATGGGCAGGAGCTGGTGGGGGTACCCAGGGCCGTCCAGAGCCCTCGGTTGTAACGCCTGGGCTGCCACAGTCCGTGCCAGGATAAATCCTGGTGGGATCTCTTTGGAAAGCTCAGCTATTTCCAGGCAAGGTGAGAGCCAGCGGATGAGCTGGGACAAGGACCTGTGGGTGATAGAGCATAGCCAGGACTCCGGATTTTCACTGCTAGGGAACAAAGGTTTAATTCAAGTAATTTAGAGCCAGCACCTGGGATGCCAACATCACTGAAAGAAACCGTCAGGAGAAAAATGCAGTTAGAAATGAAGATTGTGGTTCGCCTTGGCCTGGCATAAACCTTGCTGTAGGGAGTCCAAAGCAAGCTCCGGGGACGGACAGAGCGCTGCTGGCGAGGGAGGATGGACACGGCAATGGCCAGCCTCTCATCTCTCCTCCTCCTGGTTTCCTGTGCCCAGCCCAGCATGGGAAAACCAGGCAAAACATGGGAAAAACACCCCGCTGTGTTAGCGCCTTGAAATCTCACCGAGAGAGCTGTGCCTGGGGTCCGGTTGCCCTAAAATTGGTGTAAAAACAAGTTTTTTTTTGGTCCTGGCTGGCCCGGATCAAGTGAAGGAGCCCAAGCGCTGGCCCTGGTTTGCAAAGCGGTCGCTGCACCCACCCCTCCGATGTGCAAGGAGGGGGCACATCTGGCCAGAGAGTTTTGGGGGGAGCTGAGGGGATACCCCAATATTCCCTCCACGAAGGGAGTGGGGGGCAACGGTCGCCTGAGCCTCCCCGTGAGCTCAGCTGTGGCGAAGGCACCCGGGCAGCCCCCGCACTCCACGGAGGGAGGGCCAGCATCCCCCTCCGAAACTCCCCGGCGCGGCTGCGCTCAGGTGGGGGATGCGACCGTGCAGTGTCGTGTCCCTCCCCTCCCGAGAGCCGGCGTTGTCCCCGTCAGGCGCAGAGCTGGGGGGGCCCTGGAGTCCCCCGAGCTGGCAACAGATGGCTGGAGGCAGCTTGCTGACACCTGCCCCTCCTCTCCACCCCTCTCCTGCCCTTCCCTTTCTTCTCCGCTCGTTTTGTTTGATTTCCCAACACTTTGGGTGAAGCCGGAGGGTCCCGCCGTGCTGCTCCCCTTGCCCGAAGGGAGCCTGTCCCGGGAGCTGGACCCAAGGGCAGGAAGATGTGGAGGGATGTGCTGGCTCCAGGGAGGACCAGGGAGGTCCTTTGCATGGAGGGTGATGCTGCGGAGGATGCTGCGGTGTCTGTGCCAGCGGTGGGCAGGGAGTTTGGGGTACGGGGAGCCCCGCTGATGGGGAGCTTTTCTCTGCTCCGCCTGACCTGGCTGTCTGGACCTGAAACCTCCCTGGCCCTGGCAGGCTGCTGCCTCCCACCCTGCAGCCCGAACCGGTGCGGGTATGGGGGGGGTCCATCAGACCAGCAGATACCCAGAAAAGTGCTCACCTTGGCCCTCCTTGCTCTCCCCAGCGTCTTGTGGCAGCCGGAGGGGTTCCTTGCTGGATGGGGACAGAGTGCAGAGCCCCCCCCAGCACCGCAGGAGCATCTCCAACTGACCAGTCCCCCCAGCGCTACACCCTCCATCCCCGGGCCAGGGTGGGCAACCTTTCTCTGCCAGGTTTTGTCTCCGTTCACCCCAGAAATGGATGTTGGAAAAGCAGCTTCCCATCCCCGGGGATGGGGGCTGGAAGCGACTGTGGGGTGCAGGGGACCCGTGGGTGGGGGAGTGTCACTGTCTGTGAGACCTGGGGACATCAGGGTCCTTCTAGCCGGAGAGCTTTGGTACCAAGGAGGCTGGTGGCGAGGCGGGGAGGAATGGGCTGAGGGATGCAGAACCAGGAGGAGGAACTGGGGGCTGTGCCAGCGCATCCCTGCAGCGAGCTGCAACCACCCGCTGCCTCTCGGCAGCTCTGGTGCAAACCTCCGTAAGGGGCTTTAGCAAGGAAGGAAGGCGCCTGGAGCATCCTCGTCCCGCAGCTGGGCTCTGCCCTGCCCCACGCAAACGGCCCCGCCGTGAGAGCATCCACCAGCTGGCACGAGCTGCCTTGGCCAGGGCCCCGAGCTGCGCTTGAACCCGCAGCTTAACCCCCCTCACGGCCCCTGTAATCAGCCCTTTCTGCGCCCCAGCTCCCGGGCAAGGGAGAGAAGTGATGCCCACACTGCTGGGAAGGGAGCTGACGGCAGGGAGTCCACCCACACCCATCCCCAGTTCCCCCCCCCCCCCCCACCTCTTCCCCAGTTTCCCAGTGCATTTCTATAAATCAAGCTCTGGCATGCCCCCCCCCCCCGCCCCGCCACACCCCCGTGGCGGGGTTTGGGGGTCACCTGTGACCCCTGGCAGATGGTGCGGGGACTCCCACCCCTTCCCCAGGAACTGTTGCAGCCGGCCATCTGTCAGGCAGCTCAAATCTCCCCGGTCCTGCCCGGGAGCTGCCGCGCAGCATCTTCACCCTGGGACCCCGGCTGCTGCCTGCCCTGCCGACGCAGGGGGGGTGCAGGCAGGAGGGGATTTGGGGGGTGGGGGGGGCGGCCGAGTGGCTGCCTGGGGCTGGTGGCTGTCCTGCCCGCTGCCCACCCAAATCTGGGGAGGGGGGGGATAAGCAGAGGAGGGGGGCTGACGGGATCCCAGTGCCTCGGGGGAGCTCTCAGGTATTGTCAGGCGGCGATGGGGCTGGCAGGGGTCTGCTCCTGTGTGTGGGGCAACATTCTCCTGGGTCCCTTTGGGGGGGCAGTGAATGGAGTTACAGTGGGTGGCATCCTGGGGGTTCCCACTGCCACGCTGCCCTCCCCGCTGCCCAAGGCGGGGCGGGGGGGGCTCCGGATTTGTCCCCCTAAGAGAGAGCGGTGCTGAGAAAAGCACCTGGAGCCCTGAGCAGCCCCAGATCTGGGTGCAAGGCTGGGGGGGGGGGGTGTGTGCTCTGGGGACCTGTGACCCCTGAAGAGAACACAGCTGGGCGAGGAGGGGGGTGGGGAATGCACCTACCGCAGACCCCAATTTCCTTGTGGTGGTCCCCAGGGAGAGGTTGCCTCTGGGACAGAGACCCAGCAGCCCAGCAGCTTGGCCGCCTCCTCGGTCCCCAAGTGGGGTAATTCCTCGGGGCAGGACCCACGAGCAGCTCCCGGGGCTCGGGGGAGGCAGGGAGCAAGGCTGAGCCCGCTGCATCCAGAGAAGCTGAGTGCAGGGGCGGATAAAGGAAGGTTGGGGACAAGTTTTGGGGGCCACACTGGAAGAGTAAGTGGCACAGAGGGTGACACTGACCCTGGCTGGCAAAAGCTCTCTTTGCCCAGTGTCCTCGCCCCTCCAGTGACCCACACCAGCAGCCCCACAGCAATGGGGGGCTGCTCCCTGGAAACAGTAGAGATAAATGAGGATGAGGGTCCTATCTGTTAATGTGCCCCAGTTCTGGGGGCTCTCAGCCGTCCCCTGTCCTCCAGGATCCCCAAAAGGGAAGGGGTGCCCTCTCATCGGGCAGGCTGCAGCCCTGCAGCCCCCCACCCACTCCCTTGCCCCAGGCAGGGCTTCTGGAGGGGTGGAGGGGGATGGATCAGCCCCCCAGGGACAGGCTTTGCTCCGTGTCCCTCGCTGCATCAACCTCACTGGGGAGTTCTGAGGCTGGAGGCTGCAGCCAGAAGGAAAGGGGGGGTGCAGCTCATGGGCTGGATGCGGCCCTGGCAGCACCTCGGGGTCCCAGCACCCACCCTGGGCCAGCACCTGCCCTGTTGCTGGCACAGAAATTGTAAGAGGGGGGGGGAAGCTGCTGATGGGTCAGAGGGCGGGCTGCATGGCGAGCAGCAGCTCTGGCACGGAGGAATTAAACACTCTCCCATCCAGGGTCAGTATTTACTTTGCTCGGGTGTGCTACTTTCCGCTGTGAGACCCCCCCTCCTGCTGCAGCTGGGGAACACGACACCCCACGGGACTGGGGAGGTGGTGGTGGTGGGGAGGGGGCGAGGCTGCCTCCAGCCCCTCCCGGCTCCCACGCAGGGCACGGCCACCGCCGTCCTGCCCAGTTCCCTCCAGCACCTTGCGCCGGTCCTGCAGAGCGGCCGTCCGCCTCCCACAGCCAGACCAGTCCTGCCCAGTGCCGTGGGCCCCTGGCGTGGGGCAGCCCAGGGCCCCAGAGTGGGGCTGCAGTCACCCCCTCTGCTCCCAGCCTCAGGGCGAGATCACGTAGGCGGTGGCGATGTACTTCTTGCCGTTGCCGTAGGTGGACTTGGTCCAGGCGTAGGTCTGGATGCTGAGGCTGTAGCCGCCCAGGCTCAGGTAACATCTGTGGGGACACAGCCCGTGTCATAACCCTGCTCCATCCCTGAGCCCCACAATCGCATCCCTGGGGTACTCCAATCCCTGAGCCCCACAGTCACATCTCTGGGGTGCTCCATCCCTGAGCCCCACAATCGCATCCCTGGGGTGCTCCAATCCCTGAGCCCCACAATCGCATCCCTGGGGTGCTCCATCCCTGAGCCCCACAGTCACATCCCTGGGGTGCTCTCAGTGGCCCCACATCAGCGCTGCTCCATCCCTGATCCCCACAATCACATCCCTGGGGTGCTCCATCCCTGATCCCCACAATTGCATCCCTGGGGTTCTCCATCCCTGATCCCCACAATCACATCTCTGGGGTGCTCCATCCTTGAGCCCCACAATCACATCCCTGGGGTGCTCTCAGTGGCCCCACATCAGCGCTGCTCCATCCCTGATCCCCACAATCACATCCCTGGGGTGCTCCATCCCTGAGCCCCACAGTCGCATCCCTGGGGTGCTCCAATCCCTGAGCCCCACAATCACATCCTTGGGGTGCTCCATCCTTGAGCCCCACAGTCGCATCCCTGGGGTGCTCCATCCCTGAGCCCCACAATCGCATCCCTGGGGTGCTCTCAGTGGCCCCACATCAGCGCTGCTCCATCCCCAGCCCTCCCACCCCGCGATGCCCCAGAGCTGATCGGGCTCAGGGGGGGCACTGCTGGCCCCATGGCCAGAGGACGGCCAGCCAGCCAGCCAGCCAGCCAGCCCCACTACTTACGCCCTGCCAGGACGTGCGATGAAGCACAGCGTGTACAGCCCAAACTCGAACTCGGGGCTGCAGCCGATGAAGGCCGAGCCCACCTCCTTGTAAAAGCCGTCCCAGCTGAACTGCAGCCCCAGCACGTCGGGGTAGGTGTCCCACTAGAGAAAGGGGGGGTTCGGGGGTCAGACCCCCGGCTCCGCTTGGCTCCCGGTGCAGCAGGGCCGGGAATTCGAGCAAAGCCCGCCTGCATGCGGAGCCAGGAATCCTCACACCCTCTCCAGGGACAGATCGAGCTGGTCTGAGGGGCCGCCAGACAGAACCCCCCCCCCCCCCCCTCAAATCTCTTGCTCGTGGTTTGGGAGCCCCTTTTGCCCGTTGCATTGTCTTTTCTGGACCTTCTCACCCTGCTTCCATCCCCAGGTCCACACAGGGAAGCAGAGGGGACGTGGCAGGGTGAGGAGCATCTCTGATTCTTCTGATTCACCCCGTTTTTGAATGCGGCCGACTTGGGGTCACCTACCGGCCCGTCAAAGTTGTGGCTGAAGTAGTTGACGATGCCCTGCTTCTCAAGGAGGTAGAAGCGAATCCAGTTGTGAAATCCAGACACTTTTCCTTTTTTCACCTCCCCTAAACACAAGCAAGACCCTGGGGTGAGCCCCCCCAGCCCGGTGCTGCCCAGCACCCCCCCGTCCCGCCGGTGCGGGCTCTACCTGAGAAGACGTGCTCGAAGCCGCTGGAGTCCTGCTCACCGTCGCCTCTGGAGTAGAGGCCGAACCACATCTCCTTCAAATCAGCAAGGAATTCCTGCTCGGAGCTGTAGCGGTCTGCAAGCAAGGCGGCGCGGAGAGACGGAGAGGTGGGTGCTGTGTCCTGGGGTGAGGCAGAGCCGAGGCTCCCCCCCATCCCTGACCCAGTCCTCTCCCTCGGGAACAATTCAGCTTTGCCCTGCTCAGTCCCCGCCGTGTCCTGGCCGCTCTGGAGAGCCCGCTCCCGAGCCTCCTCCAATCCTCCCACCCAGCTGACACTTTCCTTTCGGATGCCCAACACCCAGGGACCCCCGCTCAGCCCTGCCCTGCTCCGCACTCACTTTTTTTGTGGAGGAAGGCGAAGAGTTTTTTCATGAGCTCCGTTTTCATCACCTCCCTGAGGAAGTTGTCCTGCTCCCTCAGCTCCTCCGCCGTCACATCCTCCTCCCTGCCAGTTGCCCTCTGGTAGTTGTCCAGCAGTTTAATGAAGCTTGCGTAGGTGGGTTTGGAGAAGAGCTCCTCGTTGACGTATTTGTAGAGCCTAGGAGAGAGGGGATCCTGCACTCAGCAGGGAAACAGGGGTGTCGTGTCCCCCCCCCCTCCCCCCCAGCCTCAAAACCAGCCCTGCACCCTGCCTGGCTAGCTGGTCTCTGCCGTGGTGGCCCTTGGCCACTGCCGGGGGATGCCAGTGCACACTCACGGCTGCGGGGAGCGGTCCTCCTCATCGCCCGTCTCGTCGGGGGAGGCCTGGTACTGGGGGTTAATGGCGACGTCGGTCGGCCGGGCTTTGTTGTAATCCGCCCCGTAAAGCTGCTCCGAGACGCGGAGGAGGTCCTCGTCGGTGATGGCATCGCGGCTGCTGGAAAAACCCTCTGCAAGGAGAGGCAGGAGGCTGGCGGGAGCGGGCAGCAGCTCCCGGGGCTGCGGATTAGCTGCAACACCCCCCCCCCCCACCTCCCCAAGAAGCGAGGGCGATGCCGGCGCCCGATGCTGCCGGCAACAACACGGGTGTCACGATCCTGGGACACCGTGAGAGCCGGCTGCTCAGCACGGAGGGTTAAGGGGTGCCGGGCCGGGGGGAAGCCGGGGGGGGGGTGTCCCAACCCGTACCAACCCCACGCCCTGGGGACAAGAGCTGGGCACGGGGCTGCGGGCGCGGGAGCCTTTCATTAGGCACTGGGTGAGCTCGGAAGCATCAGCCCCCGTCTCCCAGGCACGACGCTGCTCTTCCGTGGGGATCGGCCCCGTCTCGATCTCCCACGTTTTTGGTGTGTGGTGACCAGGGGGTGCAAACGCCAGCTCGCCCCTGCCCCTGCCTGCTTCACCCGGCTCGGGTGAAGGGAGATAAAGCTGCTGGGGGGGGGGGGAACGGGCGGGCGATGCCGGGGCTCTCGCTGCACCGTCTGCTCAGCGACGACGCGCAGCGGCTCGGAGCGACGGGCACGGCCAGGAAGCAGCGTGACACCCCGATGCCACCCAAGAGCTGCGGGCGGCAGAGGGGAGAGCCTCCCCGAGCAGGTGGGGTGAAAGCAGGGTGGTGGTTCATCGCTCAGAAGCGGAGCTACTCACCGCGGGGGCGAGCTGCCCCCTCGGCCCGCTCTCCACCTGCAGGGAACCGAAAGGAAAAGGAGCTCAGGGTGATGGAGACGTGGGCTGGGGGCTGCCCAGGCACCACCCGCACAAACGCGCGTCGGACAGGCAGACACGTTTGCAACCCACCCCTTTGCACCCCACAACTGGGCTCTGGTGCGGCTGCAGGAGCGGGGAGAACAGCCCCGGCCTGACCCCCCCTCCCCGAACCCCCCCATCACCCGGGGGTGCTCACCGGGACGGCAGTGCCTGTAGTAATCCTCGCAGCAGTTGCGGTACGTCTCGCACTCGGCGTTGCAGTGGCACTCGTCCTCCTCGTTGTGGGGCTCCTCGCAGCGTCCCTCGCAGGAGTCGGGGGCCGTGTACAGGTCTTTGGGAGAGAGAAACAACAGCGTGGTCCTCAGGATGGACCCACCACCCTGCCCCGGCCGGCCCGCGACCTGGGAGCATCCTTCCTTCTGCCCACCTTCCCCTCCCGGCAGAGCCTGAAGGACCAAGCTCCTACCCTGGAGCCAATTGGGATCCTTTGTCAGGATTTTGGGGTGGCGTTTTGACCGGCTGAATCCTCAGGATGCGCATCTCCCCAGGTCACTCCTCTTTGGCCATGGATGTCCATGACGTCAGGGCCACTTCACACCGGGAGACACATTCTCAGCTCCCCACTATTAATTGCTCCTTCTGATTCACCCTTTTAATGTCTGGTTTAGCAAGAGAGCCCCAGGTCCTGCCGTCTCTGGGCCGGAGGCAGAGTGCCACATTCCAGACACCCTTATTTGCCACACTGTTCCTCTTTCTGCGATGCTGGGAAAACTGGGAATTCCTTCCTGAGCTATTTATATGATACACGCATCGCTGAGCACGTGCTTTATTACACAGGGTGGCAAAGCTAAAAATAACGCAGCAGCTCAAGCTGTGCCTTGAATAGGACAAGTGCCACATCTCGGATGATGGACACTCGCCATCAAGCAAAGAGGGGCCGTAGGAGACCAAAATGTTGGGTTTGTACTAGCCCAGAGACTGTGTGCTTAGGGAAGGTGCTCGTCAGGTCCTGGAGGGAGGAACGGGGCAGCAAGCAGCCCGGGCATGGCTCTCACAGCACCCTTGGCTCCAGCCAGGATGGTGACCATCTCCAAGGACGTGCTGAGAAGCCAACGTCCCAGCCAAGCTGGCAGCCGCCCGTAAAGGGATCGCTTGAGGAAGGGGTGTTGCTTTCCCTTGCAAACCTGCAATCACGCAACATCTTAACCACCTCTGGGCTGCCGGCCTTGAACTCCAGCGGGTGAAAGATACCCTCAGGGCAAACCCCGACACGGCAGCGATGAGAGTGACCTCCAAGTGGCACGCTTGCTGGCTTCCCTCTGCGCCCTCATTGCTTGCTCTGGCGTCTGGCATTTCACCCAAATTATTTGTGCTTTTCAGGATCACATAATCAAAGTCCCGCAGGTGATGATGACAGAGGAGGAACCTCTTCACCCCACCAGCCAACCCAGCCCAGGCTGGTTGACCGAGCTGCAAGGCCACGCTGCTGACTCCTGTTTGGCTTCTCATCACCGGGTCCTTTTCTGGAAATCCACTTTATAGCAAGCGGGGGGGGGGGGGGGGTGTTAGCAGGGAGGGGTTGCTTGAGGTGCTCCTGGAGGCCATCTGCCCTTGGTGCTACTTTAGTCCCACGTTTGCCTGTACCGGTGCGGGGAGAACGGGGAAGGGGCACCCGTGGTTTGGGTGCTGAGTGATGCTCACGGTGTCCAGACACTCCAGTCCCACCAGTCCACTCAGCAGAGCAGCCAGCTCCGGAGCTCCGATGGGGTTGGCAGCTGAGATCCCTGTCCCCAGGACGGCATCCCCTCTCCCTCCCAAAGCAGCGGTCGGGATAAGTCAGCCTGAATCACGCATTCGGGTTTTCATTTTCCAGCAGCCGTCCCGGAGGGATTGTGCAAGGCAGGAACTGCCCACACGTAAGTCACCGCGGAGACGCTCCCAGTCCCCGGGCACGTGCTGCCGGAGCGTGTCGCAGCAAAGCACCCATCCTGGGGCGTGCGGGGACTCAGCCGGGGCCGGGAGCTTTGCAAAGTCCTTGGAGGAGGGAGCTCAGCTCACCCCATTTCCCGCGGGGCTCGGCTGCAGGGTGCCGAGGCTTCGGGGAGCAGGGCAGGGGGGACGGCCGCAGGAGGGTTGTTTGCTTCTCATCCTCGCACAGCCGTGAACCTACAGAGCTGCAGAGCAGTTGGGCACCCGTGGTGGTCAAGTTTAGACGGGGTGCAGGAGATTTTGGGGAGCCAAGGGCTGCTGGGAGAGCTGGCAATGCTGCGGCCAAGGGACGGTGGCCAGAGCAGGAGGACGCAGCCAGCACAGCGCATCCACGCTCAGCTGCTCAGTCAATGCTTGGCTGGTCCAGCCAGTAAATATTTTCTGGCCGCACAAAGCCAGACAAATATTTCTCTCTCATTTTTAGCCCTTCAGCCAGATCCATCCCTCCCCGCGCGCAGCTTTTTGGACAAGAACAAACTCATTTTCGTTTCTGCCAAAAAAAGTTTTGACTGAGAAAACGCAGGCTATTTCCTGAGCAACTCCATTCTCCAAGGTGTGGGGAAATGTCCGAGACATGACGGAGCCCTCTCAGGGGCTCCCAGCTCGGTTTAATACATGAACAGGAGTTACAGCTCGTGTCAGAGCGGCCGCCACGAGCCTCTGGCCTGACTCAAGACCTCGCTGCGCTGCGCAAACACAGACCGAAGATCAACCCTGCCTCTAAAAGGGCCCGTTTGAAGGACAAATTAACTTGCACCAAAAGAGCTACTGGTGGCCTGAGCTCCCTAAATATTTAGTTACACACTCCTGGGCCCTGAAACCACATATAACCCTGGGTGCAAGCTGTCTGTGAGATAATCAGGCAAAATCTCCCACCACTGTCCTGCCTAGGCGAGGATAAGCAAAGTTACTACACGGTGGAGGTGTTACAGCTCAGACAGGTCCGTCACGGTGATGCTCTGGTAGCTCCTGGCTCAAGAACAGACCGTGACACGAGCCAGAAAAGCTTCCCAGCTTCCCAGCCACAGCCAGCCCAGTTATTCCTTCAAGCAAGAAGAACTTTGCACTGGCGTCAAACAAGACGAGATCATGGGAAATCCTCCTGTTTTCCGGGCAACCCAATGGCTGGTTTGTAACAGAAGCTGCTCCTCTTCTGCACTGCCCTTGCAAAACGCCTCATCGTTAATCCTCAGGAGGGTTATCTGCTCCGAAACACCAGATACAGCCCGCCAGCAGCATCAGAAGTGATGAAACGTCCTTCTTGCCAACAGATCACAGCTCACGTTTTGTGCAAGATGATGGCAATGAAGGCACCTACTCACATGCCGGATCCCGGGAGCCAAACCCTGTTGTCCACAAGCCACTCCTTGTTGTAGCATCTTCCTTAAAGACAGAGCTATTCTTTATCACCTCCCCAAGCCCGTCTCCTCTGATAACAACCACAGTCGTCAAGGGCAAACCACCCGAGTTCATGTTGCATTTTCCATTGCACCTGACTGGCTCCTCCGCTCACCTCCAGCGGCCACGGGGGCGGGCGGGTTGTGGATAAGGTATTAGAAAAATACTTCCCTTTGTCATCGCCCGCTGTGGGAGGTTGGAGGAGCCAGGGGAAGGCAGGCTTGAATAACGAAAACCCAGCAAGATGCACCAGGAAGCAACTGGTGGACAAGGCTAAAGACCAGGGGAAGTCTCAACCCATCAAAGAGAAGGAAAAAACCATCCTCAGCACCGGAGGAGTCCTCCAGAGCTCGAGGAACCCTCCAGCATGAAAACACCCCTCACCCTCTCCCCTGTGAAGCTCTGCTGGATCCAACCTCGCAAGGAACCAGCTGTCCCAGCACAGCCGAGCTCCTGGCTCCCGGCAGCACCCTCAGCACTGTCTGCTTTCAACCAAACCATCGTTGGTCCCTTCCCATCGGATCACCGACTGGTTTAGCCCCTTTTCCAAAGCCAGGCTCCATTACTCACGGCCAGACGCGCAGCTCAGGGCTGCTACTGCCCCGACAAGGAGGATCCAGGTCTTCATCGTCTCGCAGACAGCAGGCTTGGGCGCTTCGGAGCGTCCCGGAGAGCAAGTTGGCAGTGACGGTGCTCCCTGGCACTCCCTGCTATATGTGGGTCCCCCGGGGAGCACGGAGGGGAGGGAGGAGCCTGATGCCACCGAGGGCTTCACGGGCAGGCTGCACTCAAACTTTGCCAAACCTCATTACGTGTATGGCTTAATTATAGGCTGCCCGGAGTGGGAGGAGAGCTGGTAAATCCAGTATCCCGGTATTGCTCCACTCCTCGCGCACGTGACCCACAGGGGTGACTGAGGAGCACGGGGAAAGCTTCTCAGTGGGGGCTTTGCCCACCCAGAGCCCAGCAGGTCCATCGGAGATGCGAGCTGGTGACCAGTGCCACCGCTTGGTCCCTCGATGCGCCACGTGCTCCCACGCAACTGGTGCTAACTGGGGGCAACTTTCTGCTCCCCAGGGAATTGGAAGTAACGACCTCTCCTTCCTCAGCGACTATCTCTGGAGGCTGTTCCCCCCTTTCGGCACACACCAACCTCAGCTGAAGCCTCCAGGTTCTCCAGCAGCACAAGAAAACCCGGAGACGTAACCACAAGCCAAGCTTCAGCGTTGAGGCCGCTCAGGGAGTCGGTTTTGTGGGTCCTGGGGCAAGCCCAGAGCTGGTCCATCCCCTTCCCCAAAGAGCCTCCACGGCCCCAGGCGAGGCCGAGGGGGAGCTCAGCCCATCCCCGGCGTGGTCACCAGCCTCTTCCCCGCCCGCAGCAGGGCCAGCCCAGGCTCCGTTCAGCGCATCCCAGCGGGAGATGTTCCCAGATGGTGGGTGTTTTGGTGTATCCAGGAGGAGAGACAATTTTCCACGCTACCACAGCTTTGGAGGGTGGGGGGAGCCTGGCTCCCACTGCTTCCCAGTGCTGGAGCGTGTCATACATGCTGACCAGTACACCCAAAGGCATGGGAGTGACCAGACTGGACTAGGTCAGTGCCCATCCTGCCTCCAAGGGCACCTTCACGCTGCCCCCGAACTGTGGCACAACCTCCTTGTTTTCAAAGGGTCGTGGCAATCGTCCCTGGTCTCCATCCTCATCCCTCCCCTGCCCAGCTCCGCCGCTCACGGGGCCGCACTCAGACCCACATCAGGAAAATAACCCAGACCTAACACCCCATCCTTCTGGAGGTGGGTTTAAAATCTGTTATTCTCCCCTCCTGGTTTGGAGAGCAGCGCGCTGAGGCGAGCAAGGAAGGAACCTCCTCAACCCATTTTGCTGCTGGTGGGTGTTGGGGAAGCTCAACTCTTCCACACGTCTCCCCGTCTCTTCCCAGCCACGGTCATCCCTCAAGGGCTGGCATGGGCTGACCTCAACTCATCCGTCGTGGAGCACGGTTGTGTTGCCTGCAAGCACAGCACCCGAGGGTCCGTCGCAGGCACCGGCCGGTTTTTGGCCCCTCCTCGCACGGTGATGGGGTTTCTGAGGAAGCCTCATCGCCAGCCTTGCCCAAAGCCCGCAGGATTTACACCGGCCGCTCCTCCTCGCCGGTGCACTGCGACAGACCCGGGGATGGGGCTTGGGCTCTCCTGGGCTGCTAGCCACGCTGGCTACCAAACGGCCACGCTCCCGCTGCTTCCATCACCAGAACCAGCAGGTCCAGGGCTGGGTTGTTCCCACCCCTCCCTGGGCATCTCCACCTCGGCGGGTGACAACCGACCTCCGGACACCACCTGAGCCAAGGGGAGGTGATTTCTCACCAGCACCTGCTGGTCCTGCTGACTCAGCAGCCTTGCAACAGCCTTAATTCCCCGCGGCGCATTAGCTGGCCCAGGAGAGCGGCGTTTGGTGTAATAAGGACCAGGTTTGGCTTCTTTCTCACCCCTCAGTCATTTCCTCCCCTCGTCCAGGAGGGGTGTTGCAGGAGGGTGGTGAGTCAAGCGCCCCCGGGGCCGAGGGGAGAAGACAGGAATTGCACACACGCTGAGCTTCATCCCCATCCCCTCCTGCCATCCTCCTCTCTGCATCCCCCCGGACTCGTTGCCCTTTTCCAGAATATTTCTCCAAGTTTCCCCTCATCCTCAGGACATCTTGGGGCTTCTGCAGCTCCCTGGGAATTGCTGGTGGGGCTGGACCTTCACGCTCATGCTCCTGGGATCAATCACAGCTTGTGGAGGATACGGACTGGAGGGTTGCGGAGGAGCAGGGAGCACGGTGAGCTCCACAACGGGATGCTCTTCACAGCCTGCACCAGGAAAACCAGACGAGGGTCAAGTTTTCCATCTGAGTGGAGATTTCTCCAGCCAAGCCAGCCGACCGGGCCAGCACCCCGCCTGCAGCCAAGGGATGGGAATCCCCGAGGCGCATCCATCCACCCGGCCAGCCAACCTGCAGCCTGAAGGGAAGCTGCAGGCCCAGAAACATCTGGAAAATGTGCAAGTCTAGCTTAACCCTTCCTTCCCCACACATGAGCTCTTTCATTTCAAGGCTTCTTCGGTCCTTCGGGGCAAACATCCCGGGGAAGGTGACAGCAGGAGGTTTGGGCTGCCCAATTTGGGTCGAGAGGCCGAGGAATTGCCGGTGCCTCTCTGCTTTGTCCTAGCTGGACGTGCACGCTGCTGGGACCATGCATGGGGCTGGGGTTAGAGACCGGGTGGCAAAACCTGGACCTCAGGGAGCAGATTTGCAGGGGGGGGAGGGCAGGGAACCCCTGGGGGTCCTGGGGTGGAGGTGGTGCTGGGAGCTGCAGGGAACCCACGTCCCAGCTCATAGCGGGCTGCATCGCTCGAAACGTTATTTAAGCGTGATGGGGACTTTTATTGAAGCAATTCATTCAGCTGCGTGGTGAGATCGATGCTCTGGCTCCTCGTAGCCCAGCGGTAATTGGGGCAGGGCTGGGGGGGGGGGTGGGCTTTGGTGTGTGGCTCCGTGGAGTCCCGGCTGGGGTTGCGAGCCTCCCCCGCGCTGGTACCCTGCAAACATGCCATCTCCCCTGAACCCCGTAACTTCACCCAGGCCTGCTCCGAGCGTCAGGAAGGTCGTTGCCAAAACTGCTCTGTGCTCATACAGAGATGCTCAGGGGGGGCAGGGATGGGGGTCCCCACCCCTGGGGGCCCGTCAGCTCTGCCTCTTTCAAAGGCGTCTCTCCCCCAAACCCCAGCTCACGGCCCAGCAGCAACTGGTCACGGGCTGGGAACGGTCAGAGCGGGTCACCATCTCCATCACAGGGGCCACCACAGCTTCCTTCCGTGATGGATGATGTCCTGCCTCCGTGCCACGGCTGTACGTGGCTATTCCTGCCCCAGGCCGTGTGGGGAAACTGAGGCAAGGAGGCGGCTGGGATTAGGCAGCACGGGCTGGTTTAAGCCCCAACAGTTCTGGGGAGGATCAAGATACCTTCCCCGCAGCTGCTGGGGTTGTGCACCTCCCAGAGGCTGGGACAAGGGACGCAGCCAGCACCTCCCATGGGACACACAGGACAGAGGGAAGGGGAAGGTCCCCTCTGGGGCTGCCCCCCAGCATCCGTGGGGCAGTACTGCAGCACGAGCCAGACCCTGAGCTCAGCCTGATGGAGACAGTCGTGGTGCTCCCTGCTTCATAGGGATGTTCGGGCTTGAGTCCCTCCAGGAGGAAGAAGCATCTTCTAACCCAACATCTCCTGTCATTGGGGGGGCAGCCAGGGCTCCTTCCTCCCCCCCCGCCGGCCGGTGCAGGGGGTCAAACCAAGCTGCTGCACGGAGAAGAAAGGGGAGTGCAGCCTTGCATACAAAAATACCTCTATTGCTCACTTCACTGTCCATGGCCCTCACCTGCCCGCAGCCCACGTGGGCTCCCGGCTGCCTCGTGGTGCCGGCCCGGTGCCGGCGGCATGGCCAAGCAGAGCCTGCTCTTAGCCGGCTCCAGCACAGCCCAGCGCCCCGTGTTACTGGGAGCAGAGCAGAGCCACGGGGTTGCCCCCGTTGCCGGCAGACAGGCTGCCGCGTCCCTGACCCTCCGGCCCGGTCAGGACTCCAGGTCGCGGGAGAGCCGCAGCAGTTCCTTCTGGCTGTCGATGGCTTTCAGGTTCTGCAGGTAAGCCCAGGTGGAGACGGGGCTCCGCACGCTCAGGGACTGCTCCGAGCCTGCCGGGGAGAGCCGAGGTCAGGGCTGGGCTCGCCGATCCCCCTCCATCGCCTCCGGCTCCGCTTGCCAGCCCTCTCCGTCACCGCGGGCTCAGCTCAGGGATCCCCCTTCACCGCCTCTCTGCTGGCTCACTGATCCGCTTCCACTGCTGCTGGCTTGGCTCAGCGACCCCCTCCATCACTTCCAGCTCAGCTCATCGAACCTTTGTCACCTCCAGCTTGGCTCCTGGATCCCCTCCATCACCTCTCCTTAGATCACATATCCCCTCCATCACCTCTCCTTGGCTCACAGATCCCCCATCACCTCTCCTTAGATCACAGATCCCCTCCATCACCTCTCCTTGGCTCACAGATCCCCTCTGTCACCTCTCCCTCAGCTCACAGATCCCCTCTGTCACCTCTCCCTCTGCTCCTGGATCTCCTTCGTGTCTCCCTGGGCTCCTGGATCCCCCTCCATCACCTCTCCCTCAGCTTCTGGATCCCCTCCATCACCTCTCCCTCAGCTCTGGATCCCCTCCATCACCTCTCCTTAGCTTGCAGATCCCCTCCATCACCTCTCCCTCAGCTCTGGATCCCCTCCATCACCTCTCCCTCAGCTCTGGATCCCCTCCATCACCTCTCCTTAGCTCGCAGATCCCCTCCATCACCTCTCCCTCAACTCTGGATCCCCTCCATCACCTCTCCCTCAGCTCTGGATCCCCTCCATCACCTCTCCCTCAGCTCTGGATCCCCTCCATCACCTCTCCCTCAGCTCTGGATCCCCTCCATCACCTCTCCTTAGCTCGCAGATCCCCTCCACCACCTCCAAGAACCCGCTGGAGACGAAGGAGCAGGAGCAAGTGGGGACAGACTTGCTTCATGGGGCAAAGCAATGCCCCAACCCGCTGCCTAACAGCTAGAGAGCACCCAAAATGCTGGAAGCACGAGGAGCCGCCGACCGACCGGTGCCTCCAGCCAGCAGCGGGCAACCCACGGGCTTGCACCCCTCCGGAGAGGGGGCTCAGCCTCCATCCCTGGG